TTTTTTTTCTTTTCCCTTCTTTCTCCATCCCATCGCACCCCGCCATCCAAACAATCAATCCAAACTCACCTCTCAGATCAACGCGAAGGTTGGTCCCTTTTCGCTTGTTACTTTCTCGCGAGGTTCCGTGCGGCCCAGACCCACCCCCTCGCTGCGCCCCAGCGCTGTTGCTATGTCACCCACTCATCTGCCCCTCCCCCCCAACTTCCCGTCCGTGTCACGCTTCGGGGAATGCCTGCATGACTCGCTGGATGTCCATGTACTGTCCACCTCTGCCCACCCCATCCTGCTGTCCGTCCGCACGCTCACCCCCACCCCCCTGTCATGGGGATCACGCCCACCCCGTCCTCAGGCGCTGTCCGGCATCGCCTCCTCACAGGGTAGCATCTTTAGGCGGTCGTTCCCGGTCCTGCTGGGGTCTTTGCCTATGTCTCTACAGGTCTTGGGTTTATACATCACGGAAGGTTCCGGGTGGAGCACCCAACCGTCAGATTTCGTGGCTCGTTTCGGCTTTCGCTTGACTCCCCGTGGAGACATCAGCAGTCCTGGGGGGTGGGAGGTTAAAAACACCATCTTCCTCTTCCGCTTCAGCTTCGCTAAAAGACGGGTTTGCACTTCCTGCCATCCGTTGTCCTTACCCTTTCACATAAAGCCGGAGGTCTTTGTTTGGACATTGCGTCTCGCTCTCGCATGCTTTTTGTCCCGCAGGGTTAGCTGGTACCCTTAGCTCTTAGCATTATTAGGGCTAATAAGTGCTCGTCTTCGCGGCGTACGAAACGGGCATTTTCTTCGTTAAGTGGGAGGGTCGAGGGGCTCTACCACAAAGGCCGGCTGGCGTGAGACGAGATGCTCAGGGTGCCCATTGGCTGGGTTTTGGTTACTGCTTGAGAGCAGTCCTGCCTTGTGGTCCTCAGTTGAAATGTACTTTGGGTTTTTTATTTTATTTTATTTTTTTTACGGAAACCTACCTTGACTGTGGCTTCCCTGCGTTACTGAAGCTTCTCCACCAAGACCAAGATCAGATCTGGCGCCAACATGGCGGGTCAGGGCAGGGATGATGTCACTCTCGTGTGGCTGGTTGAGCTCACGGGTGGCCGAGGGGAGCGTAATATCAGTACCGGCGTGGAATAGCATATTCCCCACGCTGCCGAGTTCCCGAAGGCTCCGGCATGATTAATCGATTAAGTGTCTGCATCTCGGGCTTCTGCCATTGGGCGGTTCTGCTCTGACCACTTTTCTGAGGGAAAGCTGCTCCGGTTTCCTGCTCGCGCTCCTGCCTGGGCGACCAGACGGTTGTGGCTTCACTCTGTCTCTGTGTCAGCGCCAGGGGGCACAGGCGTCGGGAGGAGCGCCACCCTCCATCGTTGCTCTGCTGCTGCGGCTGCACCTGTGAGCTGGCGCCTTTGTCTTGTTGTTGTCTTGGCTTTCATCAGGCCCTGTCACTTTGCAGGCATGCTTTGGCGTTGGGGGTGAGGGTTCCGGCCCAGCTGCATGCTCTCCGTTGCCCATCCATCTCCTCCATTTTCCCACCATCCTGTCTGGAATGGGGTCCGTGGGCCAGTTTGTGGGCCGTCGACTTCCGGTTCCTTACTTCCATGCTCCCGTGATGTCCCACCTGCACGCCTTCGCATGCCATGCCTGACAGTGCTGTCCCTTCCCACGATGCACCTGGCCTCTGCCGCTGCATGCCCCGCATGCCGGCTTGCTTTATCGCCATGTCGTCTGTGCTCACACAACTCCTGACGTCTTCTGACCAATCACGGGCTGCGACCCACCAGCGGTTTGGTGCGGCCCGATCCATCTCCCAGTCCATCCATTCAGAAACAATCCAAATCAAGTCGTGTCCATCTCCATGCCCATGGCTAGTGTTCTTGCGTTTGCCAGCGCGGTGACTAACTCCTAATCTGCACTACCCAGCATGCCGTGCTACTGACGCCTCGTCTCGGCAACCTGACTCAGTGCCGCTCTGTTTCTGAGTGTCCTTGATACATTCACAGCTGTGAAGGTTTATCGCTGCGTGTTAAAGGGAGCCACACATACAAGCACACAGGAACACAGACACACACTCATAGGTACACAGGTACATAGACACACACAGACACACGCACTCTCAGACACACGCACAGACACAGCTACACAGACACACACACGCAAAGACATAGGTACACTCACACACACACACATACACGCACACACACACACAGGTACAGACACACACACAGGCATGCACACAAAGACACTCACACTCACACAGATTAGGTATTGATATCTTTGTGGGGACTCTCCATTCATTTCTATGGGAAAAACCCCAATCCCAACAATGACAACCTTAACCCCTCACCAGCCCTAACCTTAACTATAAGTAACCAAACCAAATACAAGTATTTCGGCATTCTCAGTTGTTTTATTGCATTCACATATTTCTATTTATTTATTTAAGGCTGAGGTTATCTTTGTGAAGACCAAAAAACTTTCCCCACAACTTCAAAATAACCAGTTTTTATCACATTGTGGGGACATATGGTCCCCCAATGTGATTTATGCATGACACACACACACCGAGACTGGCCGTGTTTGCAGACACACTGCGTGTGTCCCAGGTAGGTATGGGGTTTATGGGGTCTTTCTAGAACCGCCGTGACCCGTGTTGCAGTAGGATAGCCTGATATGGGCAGTATGTCAGGAAGGCTGCATTCTCACCCCGCATTCCCAGTCCGCTTTCTGGTCCTTTCCACTTCCTGGCCATTTGTCTCGGTCCGGCTTTTAATCAGCTGCACCCCCTTAGGCACCAGCTTTACTCCCTACCAGCTCTGATCACATGTGCAGATCAGTATTTCCATGGAAACACACCCCCCCCTCCGAAATGATTTTGAGCCTGGAGTGTCCCCTGTGGGCAGTAGGTTCAGAAGAGTCCATTTCCCTGTGGGGGTGACATGGTCCGGGTGAATGCTCTGCCCCCGCTCTCCCTCAGGTTCCCCCCCCCAGGGAAAACCGTCTTCCCGGACTCTCTCAGCCCGTAGTCATGTGCCAGCACCTTGTGCCTTTAGATTTAGCTGATACAGTGGGAAGGACATCTGTGACACTGGAGTGGGTGCCGTTAGCGGGGCGTGCGAGCCAGAGAGGCGACCCAGGTTTCCATCAAGCTGTGGTCAAATGTCCCAGGCCTCACAGACCCCAGTGCAGTTATATAACACAGANTCCCAGGCCTCACAGACCCCAGTGCAGTTATATAACACAGACTGACAGCGCCCCCCGCAGACCCAGGGGGCAAGGTGGAAGTGCCACCCCCAAGCCCCCAAAGTTTATGTTAGACAGGGCACATCCATGGGCCCCCCAGTACCACAGCGTGACTCCTCCCCCGTGCCCCCCTAATTTCCCCTGCCTCGCCCCCACCTTCTGCTCTGTTCTCTCCGGCAGTCCGCCGTGTCCCGCCCCGCTTCTCCATCCCCCCCACCAACCACGAGGTCATGCCGGGCGGCAGCGTCAACCTCACCTGCGTGGCGGTGGGCTCCCCCATGCCCTACGTCAAGTGGATGCTGGGCCTGGTGGAGCTCACCCGGGAGGAGGAGATGCCGGTGGGCCGCAACGTCCTGGAGGTCTCCAACATCCGCGAGTCGGCCAACTACACCTGCGTGGCCATCTCCTCGCTGGGCATGATCGAGGCCACTGCGCAGATCTCCGTCAGAGGTGAGGCCCGCCTCATCACCGCCGCTAACCTCCATCAGTGCCGGGAGCCACCGCTGCCGAGCTGGGTCTCCGACAGGAAGCGCCTCTTTGTAGGCGGGTCGCTAGTTGCTAGCCTAGCCATGGGCTCTTGCGCAAAAGTCTTGTTTCCCCTGAACCTCTAGCGTATGTAGAAATGCAGACAGCTCCTGCTTACCGTGATGAAAGGGACAGACCCCGATGGCCGCTGAGGACGGCCGTCTTTTCCTTGGAGGGGCTCTGAGCTGTCAGATGCCTGCCTCAGATCTTCCCCCACTGCCGGGACGGTTCGGCGTCCCTCCAGAGATGCCATCGAGTCTCAGTTACCGAATCCGGAAAATCCCACAGCTTGGGGGAGGGGGGCGAGTAAACACCAAACCCAGAAACAGGGAACTTTAAAGTGTCCCAGTCTTGGAAAGCCGCCATCCTGAAAAAGGCATAAATATAAATGTGAACTGCAGGCCAAACCAGAACCAGAGCCTCTCCGGAACATTCTCACGGTGCCATCTCTGCATCGCCTCCCGTGTTGGGGGCTCGGTATGCCCCCCCCCCCCCGCAGGCCCGTGTGGACGTCACCGGTGTAAATGGGAGTCAGACATCCGTCTTTGCTAAGAAAGAGTCGGCATCTTCAGCGTTACTATGTGAAGAGACGAAAGCAAAGGCCAAGGCGAACCCTCAGATAAGAGTGTGATGCAACACGCCGCAAATTCATCAAAGACGTTTAAACTTCCACGCTGGGTTCATCTACAAAGCTGCAGCTTCTCGGTATATAAATATAAATGAAGCGGTAAGGCTGATTAGGAGGGGCGAGGGGATTTTCAGAGCCCCTCGTGTGTTCGGTGGCAGACTAATTACTAGCCGTTCTGCACCAGTACACTCACTACACAGTAGCTAAGGTGGTGAAGGAACAGGAGAGAATTCACTAATTAGATAAAGGGGGTGATTAGGAGGCCAGATTTGAAAGGGCCACAGTGGGCAGTTTAGCCAGAGCATCGGGTACCACCCCTACTCTATTGAAAGCTGCCCAGGAATCGCTTATGACATCAGGGAGTCAAGACCTGGGTGTTACATCACATCTAAAAGACGGCATCATTCTTACAGCACAGTGTCCCCGTCACTGCACTGGGCCATTGGGACCCACACTGACCACAGGACAGACTAACCTGTTGGTCACACCTACACCTCTACCAGCACTTACCTAGTTTTCCTACTTGGTCTCCCATCCAAGTACTGGGCAGGGCTTAACCTGCTTGGCTCCAGGAGAATTACTTAGTTTGACCTGCAGGTGCTATGGCTGCTGACATGACGAAGTAACTATAAGCCAAAAAAGGAAGTTTTTGCAGCCCAATTTTATTTTAATTGATCAGTTTTCATATTTTTGCAAATACAATGATAGTAAATATAACATTTATTCAAAACAATTTTTAATATTCTGCACAGTAAAGTAGCAGGGGGCGACTGTACAGAGTGGAGGATCTGTCACCATCCGATGTTCCTATGACAACATATATAAACAGCAGGTGAAATACTGGTGCAGAGGAAGTGACTGGAGGTCATGTACTCCCATAGTACACACTGATTCTCCAAAGAAAGTCGGTGAAATGTCAATCAGTGATAATCCCACAAAGCAAGTCTTCACTGTGACCATCAACAATCTGACAGCTGGGGACTCTGGTTACTACTGGTGTGGTGTGGAGATCAGCAGAGGTTCACCTGTGGTAACCTGGGTTTACCTGCCAGTTACTTTAGGTAAGATGTCTATACTGCAGATTGTAGCCAGTGAGATGACACATGTCATTCAGTCAGAATGAAAGGACATTAACACAAAGACAGGAGAAAATATTCTATTTAAATATTTTAACACTTCACTTTTTATATATGAGGAACCAAAATTTAGTTTTAATCAAATACATAAAGTAGATCTGTGAGAAGTAACAGTATCACTTTAAATGGGCTACTTCAGGGAGTTAAATATGATAAGAAATGTTCATGAATGTCCTTCGGTTTAGTTTAAATGTATTTAAAATAAATTNAAAGCCGCCCGCCTCCCTGATGGTGACAGAGACCACAGCCACCAGCGTCACACTGACCTGGGACTCGGGCAACTCGGAACCAGTCTCCTATTACATCATCCAGTACAAGCCCAAGGTGTCAGACAATGGCTTCCAGGAAGTGGACGGTGTGGCCACCACGCGCTACAGCATCGGCGGCCTCAGCCCCTACTCCGAGTATGAGTTCAGCGTCATGGCGGTGAACAACATCGGGCGCGGGCCGCCCAGTGATGCAGTGGAGGCGCGCACGGGCGAGCAGGCACCCTCCTCGCCGCCTCTGCATGTGCAGGCACGCATGCTGAGCTCCAGCACCATGCTGGTGCAGTGGGAGCCGCCGGAGGAGCCCAACGGGCAGATCCGCGGCTACCGCGTCTACTACACGCTAAGCCACAGCGCCCCCCTCAGTACCTGGCAGAAGCACAACACCGACGACAGCCGGCTGACCACCATCTCAGGGCTGCAGACGGACATGACCTACAGCATCCGGGTGCTGGGCTTCACCTCGGTGGGGGACGGGCCCCCCTCTGACGTCCTGCAGGTTAAAACCCAGCAGGGTGGTGAGTACTGGGCCCAGCCGCCTTCTCACACGCCATTTGAAGATGATAATGTCCCTGCGTGCCTTCCACCCGCTCAGGGGCGATTCTAGGAATTTTTAAGGTGGGGAGCTGTAATTTATATAGAGGGGCCAACCTTATTGTTAGCCAGTGAGATGTTTTGGATCAGTGAGTGACAGGGTAGGATAGCCAATCAGCATTAGCCCCCCTGTAGTCCTGCACCTGTCATAATCACGTGTTCCTTGCAGTGCCGGCCCAGCCGTCCAACTTTGAGGCAGAGGCCGAGCTGGACACCCGCATCATGCTGACCTGGCTCTGGCCTGTCCAGGAGTCCATTACCCGCTACGAGCTCAGCTACTGGGAGGCCAACTCCGATATCAAGGTGGGTGTGTTGGGCCCGCCGAAGCTGGAGACGCTTAGTGAGCCCATCCTGTCCTGCTGGGCATGCCCTAACCCTAACCTTTCCCCTCGTCGTGAGCAGTCTGCTGCAGTCCTCTCTAATTACTGATCAATATTACTTCGCACACTCAGACACTCACTGCTGCTCTGCACATTTCTGCTGGCAGCTGCTTTGTACGAATACAAATTTTTTTTCCTGCAGGGACCGGAGTTGTATGTGAGTTGAAATAGTTTTCGGTCTGTTAGCCTCGCCTTGGGTGTAGGGCGCCCTGTCGGGAAGGGGACTTGTACCCCGGGGGTGGCCTCTCCCTCCCCCCGTTGCCGATCCTCCGTCCCCTTGCCTAGCTGGCTCCGTTTTGGTGTTACCTTCACCCACGCCGTGAACTCCGCACAGTCGCTTTCCGAGGAAACACTCCACGAGTCCAGTCTTGTCCTCTGCGGGAAAAAGCAAAGGTGTTTTGTTGAACGTGGAGTGACTCATGCATATGCTCTCTGCATTTCTGCCCTGATTTATTTTCGTCGTTTGATAATCGCATCACCTTTGACACTTGGCATCGCACAATGGAAGCACTATTAGTGTAATTACCTGTTACGGACAACATGGGGGAGGCAGGCAGCCGCTCCACTGTCGGCTTCCCAGTGAGCGCCCGCGTGGGGGGGTCCTCCTGGGCCCCTCTTTGCTGTAATGGATGCCGTCCTGCTGGACAGTAGCCGTTCTCGACCTGTACGGGGTTGTACGCTGCCCGTTTGACAGCCCTATTTTATATGCTGTTCGTTTTCTTGTCTCATAAATAATGCATCAGAACACAGGCGATGAAATCTGAATTAGACGGGATAAAAACGGCAGCCGCAGGTGGAGATCTTCGAACGGCAGCGCTCCAGGGACTCTGGGGGTCCTGGGGGGACGGGCGTCTCCATGTCTAACCGTCTAGTGTGTGCCTGTCCATCCCTGTCCCCAGATGGATAAGACCTTTAGCCCCACGGGGTCCTACGCTGTCGACGGCCTGAAGCCAGACACCCTGTACAAATTCATGCTGGCGGCTCGCTCCGAAATGGGGCTGGGAGTCTACACCCCGCCCATCGAGGCCCGGACGGCACAGTCCAGTAAGTGCCGTGTTCGTCCGTTGGCCCCGCCCCCCGCCCCCCTCCCCAACAGCATCCCAATGATCCCCCCATAACTCTGCTATCACAGTCAGCAAAGGTTTTCTTTCACCTTCTTGAGTCTTTGTGGAATCTGCTTAATTAACCCCCCCAGTCCTGAGAATAAGGGCCGCCTGTACACTGCCAGAGCCCTGAGGTACGTCGAACATGAGTGTGTGTGTGTGTGTGTGCCTGCCTGCGTTTGTGTGTGTTTGCCTGCTGTGTGTGTGTGTGTGAGAGAGAGAGCGACAGTCAGCCTTTACTGATGCTCTCATCATTTTGAGTGTCTGTGTTATTCCCTCTTCATTGTGTGTGTGTGTGTGTGTCTGTGTGTGTGTGTCTGTGTGTGATTCCTGCATCTCTGTTCATCTGACCCTCACCAGCCACCCGGTGCCGTCTCATATACAAACTAATTATTATGGGCTGCCGCTGTCAGATACAGGGGCTTAACCGGCTGTGCACGCTATTGTCTGTTGGGTTAACCAACAGTTAACCAATGTTCCTCGTACATCTCGAGTCTTTGTTCCTCGTTGTACCTGCAGTTCTAGAGCACGTCCTGGCTCCCCTGCCCCCAATGGTGCGAGACCTGTGGTGTAATGGGTAACATTCACAATCTCTTTAGACGTATGAACTGGCCTTGATGTAAATACCTCTGAACAAGCAGGAAGGGCGGTGCTAGGCCTCTCCCCCTAATCGACTGTCTTACACCGCGGCTCCCTGCCACCGCGGCCTGCCGGCACGGCTTCCCTCGCCGGATCGCGGCTCCCTGCCACCGCGGCCTGCCGGCACGGCTCCCCTCGCCGGATCGCGGCTCCCTGCCACCGCGGCCTGCCGGCACGGCTCTCCTCACCGGATCACGGCTATCTGACACCGCGGCCTGCCGGCACAGCTCTCCTCACCAGATCACGGCTATCTGACACCGCGGCCTGCCGGCACGGCTCTCCTCACCAGATCACGGCTCTCTGACACCGCGGCCTGCCGGCACGGCTCTCCTCACCAGATCACGGCTCTCTGCCACCGCGGCCTGCCGGCACGGCTCTCCTCACCGGATCACGGCTCTCTGACACCGCGGCCTGCCGGCACGGCTCCCCTCGCCAGATCACGGCTCTCTGACACCGCGGCCTGCCGGCACGGCTCCCCTCGCCGGATCGCGGCTCTCTGACACCGCGGCCTGCCGGCACGGCTCCCCTCGCCGGATCGCGGCTCTCTGACACTGCGGCCTGCCGGCACGGCACTCCTCACCAGATCACGACTCCCTGCCACCGCGGCCTGCCGGCACGGCTCTCCTCACCAGATTCGCAGCAGAACCTGGTGAAATATGTATGAAGGCCCACAAAAGGAATCCATGTTTATTTTAAGCCGTTTGTTTTACTTGTCACCCCCCTATCCGCAACGCACACCGCGCCGGGTTCCCATAGGAACGCGGCCCCAAATCACTCTCCTGTTTGAGCTACTTATCCGCTGGTGCCATAGCCGCCTCCTGCCAGCGTGAGTCACGCTTCCGCGAGATGTGCCGATGTCACCGAGGCGCTCTCTCCGCGTCCTCTCCTGTCCACCGTCACCCGTCAGTCTCTCTTTATATATTTGTCTGTTTATCTCTCTATGTTTACACTGAAAATTCCGTCCGCTCGCGCCTTCAGAGTGAGGACGTGTCTCCCCAGGCCTGTGTCTGCCACTTCACGTTCCCTGCCGCCCCTCTGCGCCCGTTCCTTCGCCAGGCCGCCCCGAGGCCCAATGCACTCATTCTGACCCTGCTCTGGATGCTGAAACACCCCCCCATGTCCCAGCTCTTTCCATTTGCATGTATATGTGCTTTCCTGTTTTCTTTTTGTTGTTATTATTTTTTTTTCCACTCCCACCATCATGAAGTGGCACGTCTGGACCGCGTAGACTCGGTGAAAAAAGCCTGTGAATGTGACACACACTGAAAGCGCAAACCCGCGAGACGCACTTGCCACCGAGTGACGCCTCTCTGCTCCCTGCCGGGGTGCAATCAGACCATTAGGGGGCAGTAACGGGTTTGTTTTTTTTAACCAGATCTCAGCAGTGTAAGGTCACATTCTGGTCAGGCTCGGCAAATTGGCTTCAAAATGAACGGCGCCATTTGGGCCGAACCCATCTCCTGGTCCAGAACAGGCACTCCCCCCCCCCCTTTGCCTGACCCCGCCCTTTGGTTGTTGCCTGCAGCGCCCTCCGCACCTCCTCAGGAGGTACACCTGCTCAGCCTGAGCTCAACCAGCATCAAGGTGAGTTGGGTGGCCCCGCCTGCCGACAGCCAGCATGGCGCCATCACGGCGTACACGGTGGCTTACCGGGCGGCGCAGGGCGAGGACGCCCAGCGCCACGAGGTGACAGGCTTCGCGGCCGACGCCACCAGCTGCGTGCTGGAGGGCCTGGAGAAGTGGACCGAGTATGAGGTGTGGGTGCGTGCGCACACGGACGTGGGGCCCGGACCCGAGAGCCCCGTCACCCACGTCCGCACCAGTGAGGACGGTAGGTCTACGGGCCGTCGCCACGGCGACCGGCCACCTCTCTCCTGTGCCCGCGGTGCACAGGGTAACAAGCGGCTTTCTGGCTCACTAACGGTTGACCTGTGGTGCTCATGATTGGTGGAGGGACGTGGGCTTTGCTTCTCGGTGGCTAGTATCGGGAACGTCCAGTGGGGGGCGCTCATAGGAATGAGGTCTCTCCTGGATGCATAAGAAGCAGCCTCGCCAGATGGGTTCGGTGGCAAACAGACTCGGCTGGCAGGGACGTCCCTGCGCCCTCTAGTGACCAGCTGTGAAAGCCTCCTGCACAGCTGTGTGGGCAGACAGTTTGACCTTTTGAAAATAACAAACCAGCCAAATCCTGGCTGCGCAGAGGGGAATGGTGCCTTCGTGATAAGCACGTGGACCCCGACAAAGCGTGTTTGCCACCCAAGCCTTCCGCAGGGCTACTGTAATCAGCCGCTTCTCACAGAAGCTCATGCCGCCACAAGGTCCAACAGACTAATCCTCGCTCTCTTCCTGCTCCTGGTTTTAACAGCTTGGCGCCTGGTCCTCGGGCATTAGCTGGCTGCTCTGTGGGGGGGTGGGCTGCGGCTGCTTCTGGGGGCTCTCTCTACAGGCTGGGAGCGGGCCTGGACCACCTGGCCATGAACCGCGCCCAGCATATGTTCTGGTTTCGCTAACTGGATTTCCGTGCCCTGCTGAGCCGGCCTCCGACCACGGCTCCTTCGTTCCTCTCTCTCTCTCTCTCTCTCTCTGTCCCTGTTCCTCTGTCCCTGTCTCTCTTCCTTTCCCCTCCTCTATTTCTCCTTCTTTCTCACTCCCTTGCTCCTCCAGAAGACGTCATCTCAGCCCCTCTCTCTCTCCCTGCTCTGCCGTCTCCGACCTCCAGATCCGTTTCTTCCGTGTGGTTTTCCAGTAGCTCCAAATCCCCGCAGAACCTGCATCTGTGTTCCTTCAGAACCTGGCACCCCCAGAACCAGAGCATGACCGCCCCAGAATGAATTTATCCAGAGGCCCTGAAATGCGGCTGGTAATTAGACAAATGCGATGTTTGTGGGGGGTGTCCTCCAATACTCTCCCCCCCCCCCCCAGTTTTTTTGTTAATTGACCTCCCAGAAAGTCCTTTAGTGAACAGGGAATTCTGGGAAAGAACCAGCACCCTTGATGGATTTGCCCCTGGTTTGAGGAGGGAGAAGCCCAAAGCATGGGGGGGTAGGGGGGCTCACTAGGCATGGTTTGCAGAAGGTGACACAGTGCAGTCTGAGGTCAGTGATGCTGAGAGGCTGAATCCCATATGAGGGGGATGTGGCTTTTTGCAGGGGAGGGGGGCGGGCGGTGAACCGAGCCAGTGGACGCCGTCGACTTTCCGGCTCGTTCTTACGCCTGCTCCCTGTGACAGACCCGCTGCAAGCACCTGGAAACCACACGTGTCAAACTACTAAACACACTTCTTCGTATGCCTTCGTATTAATCTCACCCTGTCAGTGCACCCCCTAATCCGTGCTTCCTTCCCCCCTCGCAGTGCCCGGCGCCCCTCCCAGGAAGGTGGAGGCGGAGCCTGTGAACTCCACGGCCATCAGGGTGACCTGGAAGGCACCTCTCTCCACCAAGCAGCACGGGCAGATCCGTGGCTACCAGGTCATCTACTCGCGGATGGAGAATGGCCAGCCCAACATCCTGGACGTGGCACTGCCCGAAGCCCAGGTACCCACTGCCGCCAAAGGGCCGACTCACTTCCTGTGTGTGTTTCAGGCCTGGGCTGAGGGGGTGGGGGGAGTGTCCCCATTTGTTTGTTGCGGCGCCGTGTGTGAACCCTGCATTTACCGCCCACACTAGCAGCTTCTACCGCTGATCGATCATCACTACATGTACACTGCCTTGTTATTCCGATTTAAGTTGAAAATCAGCAGATCTGTGCCAACGCAGAGGAGGGTGGTGTGATTATTCTCGCTCTTCGTGGGGGGGGGACGACTCCTTTTGTTCCAGAATTGGCATCCGCTCGTCTCTCGTCGACATGCCCGCCGGCCGCTATCGGCCCTTCCCTGATTGGTTGGAGCCAGCATGAGGCATGCTGGTACTTTTTGGCGAGACCATCGAACGATCCCCAGGGCGTCGCGGTCCAGACTGTGTGCGTTGCCCACCCGTGCCCCCCCTTGTGTGCGTTAAATCACTGTACGTGGCCATCTGCGGCATCTCAGCAGAAATCGAAGGGAGCGAGAAAGCTGCAGCTACCAGAACGTTCCGGCAAGAGTGAGTTATCCTGCTGGACGCTAAACTTCAGTCCTCCGTGACCGGCCATGCCGGTTCTGTCACCTTGGGTGAGATCCCTCCTTCACTTCCGCGTCCTTATTAGCGACCCGCTTTGCAAACAGCCCCCGCCCTCGTGCCCCCGCCGATAAGGCCGGATTCTGCCAGGCCGCTATCGGCCAGCCGTGATCTCACTCTCCACACTATCGCCCGATGTCGTCAACACGCTACCGTGGTTACTGCCATGTCCGGGCTGCTGGGCCGGCCTTTCAACAGAGGTTTGTCCTTGAACTCAGGCTCAAGTCCGCATGTGGATGGATGGGTTCGTTTTAGCACGTGTGCGGAGGTGAATTACCCTCTGGGGGAGTGGGCGGGGGGGGGGGTCTGAAGGATGGCCGCTTCCTGTAGGTGATGATGCTCTCGCAGAGCTCTTGGGTGTCTGAGAGCTTCATGGATTATTCAGCATCACTGCCGACCTGGTTTTGCTCGTTTCTTCATCAAACTCGTCTCCTTCACCATTCCTCCCCTTACCTCCTCCGTTTGCTCAGCGGCGCCCCTCACTGGCAGCTTCCTGATTAAGATGATCCTGCTGCTGGCTATCGGGGGGTGGATGTGGGCGTGTCAGAAGTGCGGGGCCTGGGACGTGCACAGAGCAAGCTGACAGCCGCCCCCCGAAGGCAGGACCTCATTTCTGCGTCCCCCGCCCCCCCACTACATTGGCTATGAAATAAAGCACTGTGAAGCAGCAGCTCCAGGCTGAAGAATAAATAAGATCTGTGGGCACAGAGAGGATGTGACCAGTTACGTGCCCCCCCCGCTGCTGAATAAGCACACGTACCTCCAGCAGAACCGTGTCCAAGGACCTAAAAGCTTTTAGCGCCCAATACTCAGTGCCTTTAACCCTGCGCCCCCCCCCCAGATGGCCAGTAAGACAGCGGTCGAGCGTGTCAGTAACGCATGAAGCCCCGCCCCCTGTTGCTCATGCACTACCTGGCTGGTGACGGTGGGACGTCACTCTCCCCACCCCACGCAGTCCCCACACGGTCATTAAAAAAAAAAAAAAAAAAACAGAAAAGGTTTGAATTTATATGGAAACGAAAATAGGATCAGGTCTGTTCGAGAGGCACGATAAATCCTCCGTTACTATGCGGCGATAAACAGAGGTGACTTATGGGTATGGCGAGGCTGCCGTTCACACCACCCTCCCCATGCGGCTGTCAGGCACAGAGGGGCCAGGCTGGAATAGCAAGGCAGTGAGTAGCAGGAGCTGGGAGCGCTCCCCGGTGGGGGGCACAGGCCACTGCTCAGGTGAGTCTGTCACAAGGATCCAGGCTGTTTCTTTCCCAGGAGGCCTCCCGTGTGCAGGGAGCCAGCACAAGGGGCCCATTTCACATCGCGGATGGGGCTATCAGCCCCGGAATGGATGACAACCACGCCCTTTGGTCAACAGCCAATCAGCAGAGACTGACCCGGCCGCCACTCAACTACTGAGCTTCTCTACCTGGCCACCAGGGGTGCTCTGCAGACTCTCAAAACACCTTAATTGCTCTCCATTGCAGCCTTTTGATTTATTCCAAATTCAAAAGTGCCTTTCCCTCCTAACAGATGTACTAATCTGCCCCTGAACGGCCTGCGCTGTTAGCTGCTATTTACATCTGTTTCTGTCTCGAAAAAGAGTTAAAGCCCCTTTTGACTCTTTTCTCCCCCCGTCTGTGTCCTCCCCTCAGTGGAAAATTGAGGAGTCGACGGAATATGTGAGTAACTGAAGCGTGGGCTTGGCGTGTGCTGCGTCGTGGGCTTGGCGTGTGCTGCGTCATGGGCTTGGCGTGTGCTGCGTCGTGGGCTTGGCGTGTGCTGTGTCGTGGGCTTGGCGTGTGCTGTGTCGTGGGCTTGGCGTGTTCAGCACGGGGCCCGCGGGGATGCTGTTCTGCCCCCTTCCTCTGTGTCCACGCTTTACCCCGGTTACTAACCCTCTGCTAACTGAACCTTTTGGAACTGGGTGGTGGAAACATCTCCTGTGTCCTTCAGGTGCTTCAGAAACTTGGAGGAACCAGCTTGGCATTCAGCATGCCCCCCCCCCTAACTTTATGGCCCTGTGATCTGACATTCTCTAAAGGCATCTGGGCCCCACCCCCTCTCCCGAAAAGCCCCCCCCCCCCTTACACACATAGACCTCCATGCCCACTTGATATGCCAGCACTGATCTCGCTCGTTTGGACACCCTCCAGTTAGCGATGTGTTATGATGGTAGATTCCTTTGTTCTCTGTCAGCCTTCTGTGGGTCCAGGTGGGGAGGGGGTTGCTGTGTTTGTGGTTTGTGAGCCCCCCCCCCCCCGTACGGGCTCCTTGTGTGGGCATGCGTGTATCGGCATCCCCCGGTTCGCGTGAGAAGTCGCTGCTTCTTCACGCTCACAGGCGTTGAAGCAGTAAATCCTCTCTTTGTTTTTCTCTCGTTTAACTGGTTCAGTTGTGGTTTCTGCGTGCAGTGCCCCCCCACCCCCCTTCAGAACCACAGGTCGCCTACCTGCCTGTACACGCCGGCCCTCCCACACCCGGGCGCCGGTCTGGCCTGCCTTGGCGTGTCAGCCGTGAGTCGGGCCTGGAGCCAGACGGCCCGGTTCTGATGCATCGCGCCCCTAGCCATCCCCAGGGTCTCAGGAAACACATCAGATATTCGTTACTATCCTTGTTTTCATGTCGGATTAATCATGGAAGTGAATTAATGTCTCACTCATGTGACCTCTTCACAGCCTTGGTTGTGATAGTACCAGATGTGTGTGTGTGTGTGTGATGCATATATTACATTGTGAGGACCAAATGTGGGAACCAAATGGGACCAAATGTGATACAAACCTCATATTTTGACATTGTGGGGACCAATTTTATAAAACTCAAATGCCGAAAGTCTCATATTTAGTTTGGTTACTTATGGTTAGGGTTAAGGTTGTCATTGTTTTAGGGTTTTCCCCATAGAAATGAATGTAGAGTCCCCACAAAGATGGAGATGCCAAATCTGTGAGGGCCCGCAAATGTGATGCACATTAATCATCATAAACATTTCGAGAGATAAATATGGAACACCTTTATTTTCTTTCGGAGCAGACAGATTAGACCGACGCCTGGGTTTAAAATCGGCACTTTCCTTATTTTCTTTTCCTCTCACACCAGCTTTGGTCTCGTCATGAAAAGAACTCCTGACTTCACACTGAGAAGCTCTTCTCAAATGAGGCACTAATTATGGTGCAACTCAAATGTGCATCACCTTAACGAGCAAAGTGCAGGGTGTCCCAGAACCGGCTGGCAGCGTGGGAATGGCGCTCGTCCCTGAGACGGGAGCTGGAATGCCTGCGTTCCCATGGATTAGTTCCCAAGCCCCAGAGGTCTGGTTAACCTTTAATGTGTTAACAGTCTGTGAATCCACCCCCATCGCTCAGTTTTAAGGCAGATAAGAGACCCGATTACTCTCCGAAAATGAAAGATCACTGAAACTCCCAGGGCTGAGATGTGGAAGAACTTCTTAACGATTAAAATAATGAGTCTTTCACAATAAACTTAATAGCTTCAGATAATTGATGTTTTTTTTCTGTACTTTCTGAACTGTAGTTCCCCCCCCAAGGAAGAATGACACTTCATAACCAAACAAGCTTTGAACACACTGTTGAAAAAGCTTGGTTTGGTCTGAAACCAATCTGTGTGGACCGGGTCCATATTACTTAGTGAAGCTAAACTTCAATTAGTGAAGAAAACTTTGGTCTGATTTGTTGATGTTTCTGCGCGAGGGACGGCGAGTCAGGGACGCTCACGCTGTCTGCCCTCCGTCTCTCCGGATCCGGTCGGGCTACGTAGGTCAAAGGTCTGAAGATGGCGGATAACCCCACAGTCGCATCTCCAAACTTTACAGGTTTGCTTTGATGAAAGAGAAGCATCTAATTTCTCGGGAGAAACATCGTGCTATCTGGCCTCCCTGCTGTACGACAAGCACGTTAAATAATTAAACTAACTGAGAGTGCAGAGCTGGGGGGGGTGAGGGGGCTGCTTTGTGAGAGAGCTGTATGTGTCCTATCTGTTCACTTTGTCTTTGTCCATCTGTATCTACATGTGCTAGTGCTGTGTCTTATTGCTGGCCTGTCCGAGGCCCTGGAGCTCGTTGGTGTTCACTGGAGGACAGTTATTTAGGCGTAACCCATAATCAGCATCAGGTAGAACCTCTGGGGATTGTCTTTCTTTCCAATGTTTTGATCTTCTAAGGATGGAGATGTTTGAATCACGGATGTGGTGGTGCAAAAGTGCCGACTCAGTCGGCCGCTTTGATCTGGCCCTGTTACCTCAAGTGTGAATCGCTCCCCCATTTTACAAGGCCGTTTGTTCTCTCGCCATCCTTGTTGTTTGGTTTTCGGTTAACTTTGGTTAACTTATATTTAAACGTGGCCACCATTTGTGTCAGTGATTACTTTTTTTTTCCCTTTCCTTTGACCCCCCAGCCCCTTCCCCCCACTGGCATTTTAAGTGTCCCATCAGAGCTGTTTACCGTAGACCATAGAGAGCAATTCTTGCCTCCTTGCCTCGCTCTTTAACGTAACGTCTGATCATGTTGCCCATTTTCAGACTGTCACACTCTGTTCTGCCTCTGCTAGTCTGTCAGTGACGTACACAAATTTTTTTACTTGGCTCTGAAAAATACTGCCAACGGAGCTGTACCACGGTACTGTTTGTTTCTGATTTACTCATCCTTGCTGCAGCTGGCATTGTCAAGGGTTTTTTTTTTTGCGCTCTCCACCAAATTAATCCACTGGTTATAGGGCTGCTGGTGGCCCCTTGGCCGGGGGGGGAGGGGTGTCCTCACCTCACCGATCGGCCCAGATCCACGATCCCTGACACATATGGTGGTTCTTTGCGTTCCCTAAGAGTGCCTAACCGATTTCTTGCCTTAAAGCCATCCGGGTCTGAGAGCTAAAAGTCTGTGGAGCTTCCCATTTTCGAACACCCCTCCCCACCCCCGATGGTTTTAATGCTTGGGGCTGTGTTTTGAGAGGGTGCCTTTGTGTGCTGTGGGGTTGGCGGGGGCTTCCCGGGCCCGGCTCGTCCGTATCCTCCAGCAGTCGGTTCCAATCCGCTCTCTCTTCCCAGGAGGCCATAATCACCGGGCTGCTCGCCGAAACATCCTACTCAGTGACGGTGGCTGCCTACACCACCAAGGGGGACGGAGCCCGTAGCAAGGCCAAGACAGTGAAGACCACTGGGGCAGGTATACCTCGCGTGGAGTGGGGGGGGTGGCAGAGGAGCAGCCAGTAAATTTGGGCTCGGCTGCTCCAGCTCCAGGCGCTAACCCATCCTCTTCCCCTCAGTTCCTGGCAAGCCCACCATGCTGATCAGCACGACCATCGGCAACACGGCCCTGATCCAGTGGCAGCCGCCCAAGGAGATGGTGGGCGAGCTCATGGGATACCAGCTGCAGTACAAGCGGGACGAGGAGGAGGCCTACACCGTCAAAGACTTCCGGAGGACTGACGACCACTACACCGTCACCGGCCTGCACAAGGGTGCCACCTACATCTTCAAGTTGTCCGCCAAGAATCGCGCGGGCACCGGCGAGGAGTACGTGAAGGAGATCAGCACGCCGGACGACATGCCGAGCGGCTTCCCGCAGAACCTGCGCGTGGTAGGCCTCACCACCACCACCACCAAACTGGCCTGGGACCCACCCCTGCTCTCTGAGCGCAACGGGCGCATCGTGCAGTACCTGGTGGTCTACCGGGACATCAACAGCCAGCAGAACAGCACCAACAGCACCACCGAGACCCAGATGACTCTGCACGGCCTAAAGCCCGAGACCACCTACGACATCCGTGTGCGGGCCTTCACCGTCAAGGGTGGGGGGCCCATCAGCCCCAGCATCCAGAGCCGCACCATGTCCACCACGCCAGGTCAGAGAGTAGGAGAACATCGGGCCCATGTTTACTGGTCCGCCTGCCTGTGCCGAGACACAGCTCCACTCTTGAACCCTGGACGATTTTATCCCTAAGACGTTCTCAGCGATTTCCATCTCATGCCTGTACACACACACCCCCTAGCACAGCTAACATGAAAGACACCCAGGAACACACACACACACGAACGCACGCACACACTCAGGAACAGGTGGGCTTCAGAATGGATCTTCTTAGAGTAGATGGAACTGCAGCAACGGTGGCCAGATGTCCGTCTTCCACCGAGGCGTGGAACCGACCCCATGTCCTTCCGGCTCCGCCATTCTGGGCGCATCCACTGCCGCTGTTTAGGCTTTGCTGGCACGGCTGCTCTCGTCGCAGTGTGACATGCTAATAGCTGATAGATTTAGCAGAAACTGGCTAATCGCATTACGCGCTGTTTATATCGCCATCAGCATGGGGTCGTGGCTCCCCCCCCTCCATTCCTGCACGCACGCCGGTCCGGGGGCTATTTGCGTGTTATCACAGTACTCACATCTTCATTTTCGAGGGTTTTTCAGGAGTAATCCATGTTAAAAGCCTCTTATTCTTTCCATGTCAGATTTTTTATGCAATTCAAAGCATTTTGGAGGCTGTTGAGTTTTATGTGTGTAATGGGGTGTAATGGCGTACGGAGGCCGTTTTGTACTGCTACCGCAGAGGTGGAACCAGCTTCCACACCCACACTCATGCCCGCTCTGTGTCCTTCCACAGCCTTCGCCTCGAACTTCGCTGTGAAGGCCGTGATGAAGACGTCGGTGCTGCTCGCCTGGGACGTCCCTGAGAACTACAAGTCCCAGCTGCCCTTTAAGGTAAGGAGGGTGCTCCCAGAAACCGGAAGTCAAGCCGATCGCCGAGACTGAGGCCATTAGGAAAAAAAAAAAATCAAGAAGTACCAGATGCGGAGAGACGGTTTCGGAATTGATATTGGTGCCACGAGCAGCACTCGCTTGCTGTATGCGAGACACCATCCGGCTGGGAATTTCCATGAGGGACACGGGCTACAGGATCCTCGGGTTAATTCCCACCGACACCGTCGGGTGGCTCGTTCCGCAGATGATGTAGAGTTTAAGGAGCTGCTTAGTGTATAACGCGGATAATTAACTCATTACACGGAAGCCTTTGGCTAATTGCTAAATTGTTCCTAGCCCTCAACTAGACAGAAGCTTTTCCTTCATAATAATATTCACATTTTTGCAGTAATTACTATGTTGGATTGTTTGGAATGATTGCAGCTGTGACTTTGTGTCGAGATGAAGGTGGGGTGACTATGCTGAGGTCACATGGCAAAGTGTTAAGATCTGAAAGGAAACTTTTGCTCTGCGGCAACCAGCCGGACAACCGTCCGGAAAGAGTCGGGCTGGTGTCTCAGAGTGACCGGGTTCGTTTTGTGGCATGGCCTCATAAGTGGATGAGGGGGGTGAGTCCAACAGGGATCTCGACTGGCTGTGAGGTGATCGCTAAGCTGCCTACCCCCCTCCCCCCCCATAGATCCTCTATAACCAGCAGAGTGTGGAGGTCCAAGGCAACCTGAAGAGGAAGCTGATCACCAAGCTGCAGCCCAACACCAACTACTCCTTCGTGCTGATGAGCCGCGGCAACAGTGCGGGGGGGCTGCAGCAGCAGGTCTCCATCCGTACGTCCCCCGACATGCTGAAGAGCAAACCGGTGCTATACAACCGCAGCCAGGAGGAGGCCGGCAAGCTCACCATCACCCTGCCCCACGTGCAGACCAAGGCTGCCATCAGGTCAGCCCCCGCCACACACCTGCCGGCTCCGCCTCTTCTCTGGGGGCGGGGAAGGACACCGTGTCTGAGGCCGGAAGGTCGTCGGTTCGAATCCCAGGGTCAGGAGAGTGATGTCACCACTGGGCCCATGAGCGAGGCCCCTAACCCCCAATCGCTCCAGGGATTGTCTGACCCTGTTTTCTCAAAATGACAATAATAAAACATGTACCTCACTTTGGATATAAGCATCTGCTAAATAAATAAAATATAAAATCTGTCCCTGCAAAAGGTTCCAAAGCCTCACACAGTCAGGGGCTGTTACAGGATTAATTGGAGCTCAGCAGCGCGAGCGCAGGGGCACTGAATGCCTTTTTGCTCCTCCTGCCCCCGTTTGGCTTGCTGGGCTGGCCTCTGCCATCATAACCACCCCCCCCAGTTAAAACTCTCTGCTCTGGTCACATTGGGGCCGTTTTTAAGGTTCAGCTCTGTAATCGTGCATAAAGGTCACGAGTCTCACCTTTAAACCTTCAGTTCGCACTGTGGGCATTTATTAATGGAATTGGAGCCGCAAAGTCTAATTTCAGAGCGATTGTGTGTGTGGGGGGTGCTGGCTAATGTCTGGCTTGGTTTTGGGAAACGCTGTGAAAATCTGCTTTTCCTCACTCATCCCTCCATCCTGTGGCAGTCCTTGACCTGTCCAGCTGGGGGAGGGGCCGCAAGAGCTGGCTTTCCTATTGGTGGGATGGTGGTTGGGGGAGGGGCAGCCGGACATCTCTGCACTGGCAGACATCACTTCCCGGGTCATGGTCGCCCCGGACTGGGGGGGTGGAGGCTGCAGATTGGCAGCGTGCCTCCGGATAGATGATGAAGCAGCCCAGGGGGTCGGATTTGGCTCTCACCGCGGTTCGCTATGTTCGTCTGCAGGTGGTACTACATCGTGGTGGTGCCCATCGCTCACGCGGCGACCCGCCACATGGAGAACCCGGACGACATGGACCTGGATGAGGTAAGCAGCCCCCACCTCACTGGAAGGGTTACCCCCCCACCCCCAGCACTTTAGCTGCTTTAGCACCTCCTAAATAAGGAACATGTGTGTGGCCAGCAGGGGGCCTCGCGTAAAAACCCTGTCACTGTGGCTACCCAGCATGCCCACAGGCCTGAAACCCACTACTGGCAGGTGGACCAGTCCTTCAGAACCAGCACATGGCTCAGAGTTACGTGTCAATGTGCTTTGCGTTTTGATTTATGAGACTGCTGTATGTGAGGCTTCTCTTGGCGATCCTGGAGCCTCACCCCCCCCCCCCCAGCAGAGAGCCATTTATGAGCAGCATGTAAAACAGACAGATGTGGATCCAGAGTGGTTCTGTCATAAATGGGCCTCTGTTCCGCTCGGCCTTGAGAGCGGCTGCGTCCCGGAGGACCAGGTGTCTCTGGAATTGGCTGCAGAGACGGAGTGTGAAATGAAAAGCCGCCCAGTCAGCCCCAAAAACAGCCCCCACTGCGGCACCCCCGCACGCCATCGCCCCCAGGAGACGGGCATTTAATAACAGGCTCGCTCTCTCAGCACCTGGGTCTCTGTGGCTCAATGCGGCTGCTCGGCTTCAGGGGTTTCTGCAGCGTTCTGCCATGGGGGGGCCCAAAGTCTCGGCGTTCCTCTTCCTTTCTGGGGGAGGGTCTTCCCCATGCTCATCCCACCCTCTTCCTGTCTGGGGGAGGGTCTTCCCCGTGCTCATCCCACCCTTTTCCTGTCTAGGGGAGGGTCTTCCCCATGCTCATCCCACCCTTTTCTTGTCTAGAGGAGGGTCTTCCCCGTGCTCATCTCACCCTCTTCCTGTCTGGGGGAGGGTCTTCCCTGTGCTTATCCTGCCCGTCCTGTTCTTGACAGCTACTGGAGGTCGGCGAGGACGGTGGTTTGCGGAGACGTCGCCGTCAGGTGGATTCGGCCAAGCCCCACATCGCCGCCAAGTTGGAGACCCTCCCGGAGACCTTCACGCTGGGCGATGAGAAGTACTACAACGGCTTCTACAACAAGCCCCTCTCCAGCCACCAGCAGTACCAGTGCTTTGTGCTCGCGGCGCTGAAGGACCAGGACTCAGTAAGTGCAGCTCCCTCCGGTGGCCAGGCCATGTTGCCGACCTTCACAGCTCCGTCATTCTGAACCGGGGTCAGGCACAATGCGACACGGGGAGCTGCACACTCGAGCAGAAAGGGGCCGCCCAGCCGCGGGAATTAATGATGACACAACATTTCGCTGGTCGTGCTGTCGGGCAGATTGGCTAATAAATGGGACGGTGGAGCATTACCCTCTGCCGCATCCCGTGACCTGCAGGTGCCCGTGCCCGTGCCCGCATGCGTGACGCGGTCGTGTTAAAATGCTGACGCCGCGTTCTCCCTGTCCTCCCGCTCGCACCGCAATAGGCTGAAAGTTACGGGAAGTGAGGGCCAATTGGGTGGGACGCCCTCCATCTTATGAATATCGATGGTCCCCCTCACTCCCTCAGGCCTTTCGTATGATTCTGAGATGGCCTGTTTTCGGGCAGACCTGTCTGCAAGCTCAGAACCGTGTAGCGTTAATCATGCCGGCCGCTTGTCTGGTGTAAGGGTCGCGACCCCATCTCTGCACTTCTGCTGTCTGTCCCTCTGGTTTGCCCCCGGGGTAAGCGTCCACCCCACTGTGTCCCTGGCGCCGACACCAGGCCGCTCCCGATGAAGACTCCGGGGGAGTCTGGCGGGTTCACTACGGCACTGTGACTTTGGGCTTTGTTGCCGGTCCTGTGACCATGTGAGAACGATGACAGAGGCAGATTTGGGTCTGGGTCAGTGCGGCGGGTGGGACCATGATTTACAGAGTGGGGCTAAGAGAGAAAGGCAGCTTTTTATGCCTAAGGAGGGATATGAGACTGACAAACGAGGGAGAGAGAAGGTGGGGCGGGGGGTGATGAAACCGCGGCTCCCTCTCTCTACGTCCCTCCATCTCTCCCTCTCTCTCTCTTTCTCTCTTCTCATCTCTCTCTCTCTGCACTCTCCCCCTCTCTTTTGCCATCTTTCCCACCTTCCATCTCTCCTTCCATCTCCTTCACCATCTTTCCTCGTCTTTCTCTATCCCTCTCCATCAGTCTCTGTCTCTTTCTCTCCCCCATATCTCTCCCTACTTCTCCTCCATCTCTTCCTCCCTTCCTCTCTGTCTCCCACGTCTCTCTCCCTGCCCCCCCCCCCCCCCCACACACACACATTGACACAGCACAGCCCGACTGTCAGCACACCCTGAAGCAGACGCATTACGCCGCCACTGAAGGGTGACTCTGTGCCACAAAGCACCTCTCCATTGATCAGCCTGGTCCTCCATGAATTTTTCAGCGCCTGTTTCGCCTCCTTGCTGCTCTGATGAAGCGCTGATCTCCGACTCTCTCATTATGTACTCAGACTTGGGAATACGAGGCAGGGATACATCCCCCCCCCAGCCGGGCCCCAAACAGAGCCCGTACGCATGCATCCCCCAGCAAACCCATCCTGTCCCCCTGACTGGTGTGAGACACACCCAGCTGTTCGTGAAACACTAATGGTCAGCCGCAGACGTGCAGTGAGTGTGCGCGTGTGTGGGGTCATTTGTCTGTTCGGGCTTGTCTTGGTCAGGCAGGGTGCCCATTCACCATGCAGTGACACTCTCTGGCCAGTTACTTGCTGAAATACACCTACTCTGCCAGGAACGCACAAGTTGATGGGGGGGTCACATTACCACACTGCCATGAACTACCACCACCAGGTCATATATATGAAATTCTTTCAGACTGAATGAAATATCCTTCACCTCTCACATGTCGGTTCACGCAATAGTTGACAAGGTAAGCTGCAGGTGGTAAATTCTCCTATATCATTAAGTCACATGTCAGAATCTGGGGCTGTTTCTCTGCTCGAACCTAGGACATGGAGGCTGGATCATTCTGGAAGACCGTAATGACGGTTTGGTTGCTGTTGTAACTGATGAAAGAATAAAATGTGCGAATGGAGTGATGGAAGCAGGAGGAAGTGGAGGGAAGGCAGGCAGTACAGAGCGCCAGGACAGGCTGATCATGTCGCCTCTGCCTCAACATCACCTCCATCCCCAGGTAGAATCTGCCATGTCACTCCTACAGAGGGGGGACCATACAGGGTGAGGGGGGACTGGACCACGTGGGACAACCCGGTCCGGACACAACTGTGAGCTGGAGAGATAAAAGTGAAATTACAGCCGGCAGATCGCAGAGATAAAGCGCAAATGTGCAGCATGATTTCCTTAAGGTGCCGTAAACGTCCGCTCCGGTCACCGGTGAATTAAGGCCACTGCGGACACATAGCGGAGATTCGTGTTATCAAAGCTGACTTTGACGCCGTAAATGATCACCCTTCGGAGGCACTGGCGAGCCCAGAGGCCTCCACACATTCATGCCATGTAATTTGCCTCTTGAAACCCCGGTCACACCGTTTTTGAGCACTCAGAGTTTTCAGTTCCATGTCGAACACGCCAACTTTACCGCTCCTCCCCCCGCCCACCCTTTCAAAGTCATTCCAAGGTTCTCCAGAGCTGCTAGCATACCTTAGCCTTGCTGGGTCTGGCTACCCTTATGCTTTATTAGCAGCATGGCTAATTTGCTGCTGGCTCTGTTTTGGCGTGCCTCTGTGACACTGAGGTCTTCCACAAAGGTCAGATCAGCCCTGCCCCCCCACTAACCCCCCTCCCCCATCTCCCCATAGAAGACGTTTGTGGCCAGCCCCTACTCGGAGCCCATCAAGGTGAGCTCACACGTGTCGGCGTCCATCGAGGAGCAGCCTGAGATGCTGTGGGTGATGGGCCCTGTCCTGGCCGTCGTGCTCATCGTCATTATTGTCATCGCCATCCTGCTCTTCAAGAGGTGAGGACCGCCTAAACCCCCCCCCCCCTTCCTGCCCCCACCAACCCCAGTTGTGACAGCCGTCGCTCTGCTGGGACCCGCCCCCTTATCCGCTACGAGCAGCCGGTCACAACCATCCGCCTCTGACATTTAAAGAATTCATTTTCCGCGGTGTGTCATGCTGCCCCCTAGGGGGCCATCTAGCTGGTGGGGGTGGGGGGGGGGTGCTGTACACATCTCAGAGCCCGTGGCAAGCAGCCGTCGGACTGCATCACACACACATCCGATTGTGAGTCCCCACTGGGTCAGACGCGGAGACCGGCTCCGTCCCGGGTGTCCGGCCGCTTGGGGCCATCGTGCTGGGGAGAGAGAGGGTATCCCTGATGCATCGCAGCGCCTGCCACAGCATGGAATCCACTCTAGAAGTTACTGTGCCCCGCCGGCTCCCATCGAGCCGATCCGCCGGTAGCTGAAGCCGGGGGGGGGGTGTGTAATGGATCACACTGGGGCTGCCCCAGATTCCGGCACTGCGGCGCATCCTCCTCCATCTGCTGTCCTGAGAGTGTCCATCTTCTCCGGGAAACAAAAAAAACACTCATTCCAAGGAAAAAAAAATGTGTTCATACAGCTTTCAGTGTTAAGGTTCCTTGCAAGAAGCGTATCTGCTGCCAAGGTTGGACATGAAGAGGCGTTTACTGTACGTGTCACAGAGAGTTCAGTCCTCCCTCCGGCACTGAGTGCCATAGCCCCTTCCCATTTCAGCCACTGCTCTTCCCGTGACTGATGCCTTTGCGTGACAGTGCATTTGGTAAGCCATCAAACGGCACAGCCTTCCGGAACCTCCTACAGCAGCTTAGTCCCCTTCGACCCCTTCGGCTGCAACTGTAGCAGGTCTTGTTAGGGCCTGGTACCATGACACCCCAACTGCTAAGCCGTGTGAAGGATCAGTGGAGAGCCGATCCGCTCCTCACGTTGCTCTCACTGCTGCCAGCACCTGAACACACCACTGTCTGGACAGAAGCCCCTTCCTGCCATGTCTCCTCCAGGAACCTAGGTGGCACCTGTGAGGCTAATCACCCGCTGTCTCACTCTTTTTTTTGTTTCCCTCCTCCCTGCCTTCTCTGGACACAGCAAAGAAGAAAGGTGGGTGTCGCTCTCACACGCCCCCTCATGGCTGAACGCTGCCCTGCAGTCAGTGTTGCCATGATTGGTTCGCCGTGTGTTGGTTTTGAGTTGGTGTGCAGCCTGTTAATTTGTCATGTGTCTCTCACCGTCTTCTCCCTCTACCACTTGCTCTCCATCATGCTATGTTAAAAAAAAAAAAAAGAAAAAACATTCACTGACCACAGAAATGCAAATGTGGCACTGAGGTCATCTCTATAAGCACGGGGGGGAGGGGGCTGGGGTGGGCATGAGCCGTGGCTCCTTGCGGCCACCTTGCCCCGTATCTGCCCCCGGATCTTAATACTCCCGTCTGAAGGTAAATGCCGACTAGGCAGCTGTTGAATGTGACTCGATTTGAATGTCAAAGCTGACATTTTCCCAGCTGAACCTCTTTCAAACACGGCTGAGATTAGCTGAGGCCTTTGTTCTCCTGTTTTTCTCACCCGGCCTGAAGCCTCCATCCAGTCTGCCATCGCCGCCGGAGACTGATGCAAACGCACCAGAGGGCAGGGGGGCTAGTGTGGGCCGCGGATAGACGCTAGGGGGGTTACTGATACCCTGGTCTAGGCCTCGGCCCACCCCGGCACATGTCCACATTTGGAGACCCCCAAAGAGTCTGTCCGGAAGACCTGTTACAAGGCCTGCAAATGGAATGCAATAGAATGTGAAATTCCACCATGCCTGTCTGACACTCCTGTACCCCCCCCCACCCCACCATGGGGGAGCCAGTATCCCGGATCGCACCTGCACCTCATGGTGGGCCCAGCGGCTGTGTAATTAGCGATCCAGCTAACCTGCTAATCATGCCGCGGTCTGTTTGCCCCCAAACCTGAGCCAGCAAAATGACACGTTTTGCACTAGAGCGCCCCCTATCTTTGACATGGAGTTGCTCGCGGTCTCAGACCCACAGTCTGGGCCTCCTTCCAGGCTTGGTACCGCTACTGTGACGCACCTCTGCATGTTTGTCATGTTGTCTAATTCATTACAGAATGTGTACTTTGCATGTAATTGTAGAGTAATTACCCGATGCTTCGCCAAAGCATTACCATTACCAGCTTAACCAGTCACTGTAGTTCAGGTTAAGGACCTAGTTCATGGTTGCTATGGCAGGACCCATCCTGGTACTTGAGCTGATGACCTTAACCACTAACCACAGTGACCCTAACCACACCGCTGCTCCACTGTGTGGTGCTTTCGATCATGACCAGGCATCATCTGTGTCCCTCAAGCTTCATCTGCTCAATCTCCTGCATGATGTGCCCGTTCTCACGCTTTCTCCCCCCCTCCCCCACAGGAAACGGGCCTCCCCCTCCCCCAAGGACGAGCACCCCGCTGGCGTGAAGGACTGCCTGCTGGCTCACTCCTCAGACCCCGTGGAGATGAGACGTCTTAACTACCAGACCCCAGGTAACCCCCCGCTGCCCCCCACAGAGATGAGGCATCTTAAGTACCAGAGCCCAGGTAACCTCCACTCTGTGTCTGGGGGGGTTCACTGTTCCCACTTAAAGGTCCCCGCCCTGGTGTCCTTCTCATGACCATGTAAATACACTTTTCTGTACACTGATATGTATATGAGCTTAGTTAAATGGGGGGGGGGGGGTTCGGAAAGGTCCTCTCAGGGCTCACAAAGCCGGCCTGAGGCCCAGAATGAGGGCACAGCACAGCTGGCCCCGAGCCTGATCGCCTGCTCACCCAGCAGAATCATGCAGGGGACCGATTCTGTCCCTTCCACTCAGTGACTTCTAGAATGTTCTTTTTATAAATGGCTGCATAGCAGCACAGAGATAACTGCACTTGAGACACCCCCCGCCCCGAATCTGGACTCCAGTTGCTGCCTTTCCTTCCCAGAATTCTTTGTGTTAGTTCCAGCACCCGATAGGCCTGACCTGTACTGGGGAGGTAAGAAGCGACTTGCTGGCGGTTTCTTGTGACACCGACCAGCAGCATTTTATCTTCCTTAGGTGATTAGGGGGTTTGCTTTCAGAAGCGATTCCCGTAGTCCCGCGCTGCCCGCGAATACAGCTGCTACATCTCGGGGCCGAGCATCAACACCCCCCCCCCCCCCCCCCCCCCCAAGAGCACGGCT